AACAATGAAAGTAATCGGATAAGATAAGAAATACACATCATTCGACTCAGTTTTTTATTCTGATTTCGAATATGATATTTTATTGCGTAAAAGTCGATGTTTGATCGAGAAAATTGAGAATTACGGGCAGAATTCCGACATTTACGTCTTGGATTTAGAAAAAAGAAATTTTTGCAGTAACGAAAAGCGATTTTTAAAAAATCTCTTCGTAACTTTGAAGCTGAGCTTCTGGCGATTCTGACAAGATGCATATATTGGGTCTACCCTCTCTACACAAATCTGTGTTAGGTCTGCAAAGTTCGGCTAGGGTTTTTGACTCAAATACGTTTTGGTCTACGCGAGAATTTGGCTTTTGGATTTAAGGACTTGCGAACATCATCTCTAGAACCAGTTTTTCATAAGGAATCTGAAAATATTAGCTCCAGAGTTACATGTCTAAAGCGAAAAAAGTTATGGCGTTTTTCCTGAAAACAAAAAAGTTTGAGGGTTTTGCAACATTCTCCGTAATCGAAGTTTATACAAAACTTAAGCGTCATGTAGCTGATGCTCTTCATTTTTTAAACACCTGAAGTTAGCGAAAACAACTAGTTAAACAATATCTTGTTTTTATATATTCTTATGAAAACTTTAGATCTAATATTATATGGAGAACTTCTAACTCATTACTTCCTTGCCTTTACCGCCATACTGCAGAGAGATTATTAAAAAACTTGCTGTCATACTAGTGACAAAATACACTGTACTAACAAAACGCTTTGCAACAAAAACCAAAAGTGAAAATGCCTTCTTATCTTTCTCTCGCGTCCATCTCGGTTGTTCTTTTGCTGTGCTGTCTTTCTTTTTATTTCTTTTCATGCATTAAACTATTCATTGTTGTTGTTTTTTTCTCCTTTATTTTTTATGAATTGTATAACAAGCACTTTTCTATACTATTATAAGATAATGATTTCAACGCTTCAGTAACAGTTTAGAGCAATTTATGTGATATCAGTTAACATTCCTTTTTCCTCTTGGTGGTTAATACATAGCTTGAACTAAACTAAGTAAGGCAACGAGTTTATTTGGAGAGCTCGAGTACTTCCTTTAACAGACAATACAAACGAATCTAACAACAATCATATTTTTACCATCGATTTTTTTCTACTATATTGCTATTACTTCGATGTGGCCGTTGGTTCGTACATGCATTACGAATTTTGGTAATGTCTACGTTGAAACTTTACATCGTTTAAAATAATTCAGACTAAAACTGATCAAAAATAACAAATTGAATATTCTGAAGATAAAATCAAATGAAAAACTTACCTTTTTTAACAAACATGGACGTGGTTGTAGTACCAGCTGTTGTACAGCGTTATCTAAAATTCAGCATTGAAATACCAACGAAAAAAAGCATACTATATTCCTCATACCATACACGTATATTTCAAGTATTGGTGTTATTTCTTGAACATTGTTTGTTTCTTCAAATAAATTCAAATTTGTTTTGGTATCTGGCATTTTTTTATTATTATTAGTTAGAAATCACTTTGTCGACCGAAAAGACGAAAAAAAACGTGTAGAAAAAAAGTTCTCTAAGCAAGGAAAACTCATTTTAAAGCTAAACTCTAGCAGAAGTTGTTTATAAACAAAAAAAAGTTAATTAGACACTTTTTTTATATAAAAGTAAAAAATATCGTTAAACACCGATACGGTGAATACACAAAAAAATTATTTGCTGAAATTTCGACGACAAACGAAAACAAATGTTGATTTTGTAGCTTGTATAGAATAAAAATTCTAAAAAACAGGTAGAATTTGTACAAAGGGAAAACAATATGTAATACGTACGGTAAATTTTTCTCATTTTGGTTGATATTCTGTAACAAAAAAATGTTCGATAAATGAGATGAAAAGGATGAAAAAAATTGAATGTTTTAGCAACTGAACGAAGAAAAATAGTCTCGGTAAAATTTCTTGAACATCAGCCAACTTTAGTAGAGATCATTTTGTACATGATAATAATAATTTAAAAAATTTTCCGACGTTCGTTTATTATCACTTTTTAATTCTTGTAATCGTTCAAAATAAATTGATCTAATAAGGTCTAACAGTTCTTGATATTCAATCACTTCTTTGTTAGATGGTTTACAAATATACACATGATTTTTGTTCAGCACATAAAATGGACCAATATCTATTTGACTACTCTGCGCCGGAACAACAATTGTCTGATATCGATAAGAAAATACAGTTTTCTCATTTTCAGCAAAACTAAGTATTTTGATATTTTGATGTTGTTTTAAAACATTCAAAAATCGTTCATGTAATTCTAATAAATTTTTACTATTTGGTTGCAAATCTTCAATTTCAACAGTTGGACGTACCAGAAACTTGTTTCGTACGCCCCAACTGGCCAATTCTGCTCCAAAATGTGGAACAGAATAAAAAACACATGCACGAGTATTTGAACGTAATTCTTCATTTTGTTCATTACCAATAACATATTTTGTAATTAAACCGCCCATGCTATGAGCAACCTAAAACAGAATAGATTCGATTTAAAATATTAAATTAAATTTTAATTATAAATGATAGAAAACAAAACTCACCCAAATAATTGGCCGCTTGCCAACACCAGCTTGTTTTAACTGTTCAGCAATTTCTTGTGCCTTGTCTTTCATTGAGCGACGAATAATTTCTCTAGGCAACGATCGCATTTGCCATTCAGATACAGTTGATTCATAATCGACGGCTAAAAAGAAACTTTATATAACTTTTTGATTGAAAAAAAATTCATACTATCTACGTACCAACTATCCGAACATTTTTTGACGGCAGATCTTTTCCAAGCCAGTCTTTTGGCCAACATAAAGAATGTTCTTGTTGAGAGTGTAAACCTGTTAAACGTTCTTTGATGTTATCTACGATTGATTTCGGCACATTATTTTTTGAACGATTTTTTTCATTATCATTGCATTCAATAGACGATTGTTGTTGTTGTTCTTCATTATCAACTGTTTCATCAACATCATCTGTCTCATTATCCTCAACACTAGCTTCATCGGATACTTTTTTCTTCACGATCAATGGAAATGGTTTTGATGTGGTTGGCGACATTTTTTCCTCTATGTCTTGTGCTTCTTCTTCACTTTTATCTACATTCACTTCTTTCAGAACTTGTTTTGACTCTTTCTTTATGGATTCATCTGGCAACTAAAATAGACACAAGATAAAAACACTTTTCTTCATAAACAGCGTTGTGAGGCGATGAAATCTTCAACTCACTTCTTGACGCCATGTTTTAAAGGCACTCCCTTGAATTCCGTGTATCTAAATTAAAACGATACACAAAGATGTCTTTCCATTATAAAGGACTGGCAAAACTTACAAAAACGACATCTACCATCGGCTCGTGATGCCAACGGTCATGATTTTCCAAGCGACATAAATCATACATAGTTGGACTCATAAGTATTAGCTTATCGCCATACACTTGATCTTGAATCCATGAAGGCAGTTCTTGAGTGTCAATTAGTTCTTCTTTAGAAGTCTTTTTAATAGGTTCTTCTGGTGAAGACGGTTGTTCTTCCTTTTCTTTTGATTTTCTTTTAAATTTTGGCCACCATTCTTTTTCCTTCTTTACGACGTCGTTTTGTGCAGATGTTGTATGACTAGTATCAATATCAGACACGAATCCTTCTTTATCACTTCTCTTATCATCAATAATATCTGGTGTTTCCACTTCATCTGACACAGGTAGTTGTTTATACCAAAAACGTCTCAAAAAATTTCCAATAAAACTATCATTTTCTGATTCAGTTGTTTTTGTTGATGATTTATCTTGTTCAAATACTGTTTCTCTAACATTTTGACTTTTGTTTTCAGCTTTAGACAATTCGGATTTGGTTATTTTCGGTTCGTGCACTTGTTCTAAACTTTGTTCTCTGCCATCAACTTTAGAAATCGATAAACTAATTGGAGCAGGACTCAAAAAAGTAAAATTAAAAAAAATATATAGAAAGCAAGTGAAAGTAAGCACATATTTTTCAGTAGATCCTTTCAGCAAAATAAAGACTTTATATTTAGAAAACTAGTTAATCTAACCTGGTTGGAGGTATTAAAGATGCTGGCCTATCTAAATTTGCTAAAATTGTCGAACTCAGTAGTGCATAGATAATATTCGTTGAATTCAATGACATTTCGTTTAATATTTTAATCCATCCTACAGCATGAAAATACTCGTGTGTTTGTTTTTCTCTACTTAGTAAAATTAATAATTTACAAATAAATCGTACAAATGGAACATTGTCTTTCCGTTTTTCATACAAATATCTTAATATTCCCAGTCCATCGTTTTTGATAACTTCCATAGGATATCGATCACAATAACCACGTAACGCATACAAAAATGTATAATATAATTCTAAATTGCTACGATAACGTTTGATTGCTCTCGTAGAAGTGTCAGCATGTTCCGGCTCAAAATGTTGGACTGAAATTATAAGAAAACCAGCTATTGATCATAAATATGAAATAAAAAGATTTAAAACTACCTAAATCAAACACTGTTTGTGACTTGATATCGTTCAGATAATCGTTTAACGAGTCTAAATAATATTTACTCAACGTATCGATCTTGTAACGTTTTAACTTATCTAAAAAATCTCCGATTGTATTAAGTAATACATCATCATCATCCACATTTTTGACAGAAGCAGTTGTTTCTTCTTTTTTTAATGAAAATATATACGGTACTCCATGCAGAAACAAATTTGAATTAGCATGATTTGTTCGTGCCAAAGATATAACAACATTACGGTCAAGCATTTGACCTAAAAATATAAAAATAGCACTAGTTTTCTAGCATTTTTCAAGAAAATATATAGATCCTATATCTACCTATTAATTGATAGCAAAAATCGGGCAAATCATCTAACAATGCCAGATGTGTTAAACCCCTTTCTCTAATATGAAAATTTTTCGAACGAGTTTGTGTGATATAATGCAATGCTTGACGATATTTAGCAACAATTAACGGCGATACAAATTCATCTGGCGCTGTGATGTATTGATCTTTTTTATTTTTTAGTAAACTGTCATTTAATTTTAATTTTGATTCAATTGATTCGATCGAATAGTCATTTGTTGTTGTTTCACCATTCTCAGGTTTGATTGCTTCTCGAGATTTTGTCGGTTTAAAGTGATGAATGAAACCAGCTAAACCAATTACTCCGGCAGTCGATGTGCCCAATGCTATTAATGTACGACGTTTCAAACGTATAAATCGACGACGATTCATTGTATGTGAAAACTGACAACATTATGCCATCAGAAATAAAGTACGAGCTGTTAAAATATAAAAATCACGAAAATAGAAACAACAAGATTTTAAAAGCCAGAGCTGCTATCTAATGTAAGAGCCAGAACTTTCTTTATATCTGCTTGTCTGAAATAGGCAGTTATAAAAAAATTAGAATGATTACATAATATGCTAACAAAAAAATACACGCTCATGTCTATTAAAATGAAGCGATTGAGAATATCTCTCAGCCAATGTTGAACTTGAAATTAGATGGTAGGAAAATCGTTGTGATGCAGATATCTAAAGCACATGGTAAGATAACATTGTATGACCGATCAACCGAAATACATTCTGAAACTGAACTGATGATTCTTCACCAGTTTTTGATTGTTGATGTTGAATACACACGCGACACAAGACGGTCTATCGGCCGACCATAAAACAAAATGGAAGATAGGATGAATCGCGGGAAGTTCACGTGCTTTTTACAGAAATGGTATTTTATCATAACTAAATTATGATAAAATTCCAACTCATCGGGTCGAGCCGTTTTAGTACGCACAAACACTAAACTACTTATTCACTACGTTATAATTGGTTATTGAATTGTCCATTGTTTTGCAATACTGGAAGCAGTGTTTTCTAACATCAACAGAATTTAGCTTGTAAGAAGTTACCTGCCAATAACAGCTGCCAATAGCAGGTAACTTCAGCAGATGCAAAAAGCTAGCTGCCAGAAGAAAAAATGTGGAAGAGGCCAATATGGCGACCGATATAGTAACTTTTTTTTATTACAGTTACATTTTTAAAGGACTAAATTGCACATAATGCATATTTGATAGAAATAAGAGATGAAGCGCTTAAACAGATATAATGAAAGCGGATAGAAAAGGTAAGGCGCCATCTATTACTTAATATTCTTTTGTTGCTTGATGAAACGATCAATGAGAATGCATTTTTAAAACTATACCGTTATAAGAAAACGGACAAAAGAACTGTTATTTTCTGCTGTTGTATTTTCTGCTGTAGTTGTTTTCTGAATGCTGGCTTTTGTTGCGAATGTGATAAAAATAAATGAGATGAATTTCCATGCCATTTTTACGATGGATTTTGCTGATGGGTTGCATTTCGTTGCTGTTGTAGTAAAGAACTTTTCTGTAATGAGCATTAGTGTTATAGTTTTAAGTATCTAAGTCAAATGTTAAAGGAGCAAGATCTGTACTAGTGAAGTTTTTTCTCAAGCACATGACTTTGTGCTCAAGAACGTCACATTCCTGGCTAATGTGATACACAATCTTTTTTGTCTTATATGCTATAGTTTCTTGAAGTTAAGCATTATTTTTCGACATGATGAATATAACGAACTGAGCACATGTGTATTCAATATAACAG